TGCAGGTTTAAGGTCAGGTTTACGTCTTTCTACCAGTCCTCACATTTTTTACCCATGAAAGCATCCTGCATCACTGTGTTTTCTTAGTCCAATAACCAGTGTCTGTTTTCAGATTCTGTTATCTTGGTATGAAGCTATCTTTTTCACTGAAACAGGGCCGTGTCACAGTATCTGTGTTTGTCTTACCCTGTGTGGCCCAGGATGGTGGCGTGGTGCAGCGGTCCCCTGCCATTGCTGTCCGCCTGGTTAACGTTGGCGCCGTTTTGCAGCAGGAACTCGCAGGCTGCCAGGGCGTTCTGACCGAAACAGGAGAACGCGTGAGCTCAAACACCCTCTGAACCTTTACCAATTGCACCGTGTGTCACACAGTGTGAGTAAAAGGCAGGTTAAGGATAAAAACGCCAGAGTATCCTAATCGTTTAACACACATTTGCATGCAAATGTGCTTATGGCAGTTAAGAGATACTTTATTTTTAGTGGGAAGGGTATTTTTGACCAGAGAAAGTAGAAACCCATCGACTACTACATGACAGCGACTATTTCGGGACCTGTTTCAAAGGTAAGTCGTACCGTCCCGCTTTTGTTCTCTACAAGTGTTTAGCTGTACTCAAGCAAAGGCTGCTCAACCAAGACTGGTGTCCACAAATGGGACAACAGAGAGATTTCGTTATCACCTCCATCCATTTCCATGAGATCTAGAGGTCACAGAACTCGTAAAGATTCAAACTCTAATGATCGACTGAGCGTCCTTCTCACCACTGAGACAGCCTGTATCAGCGGCGTGCTCGACTCATCATTCACGTTGACCCAGTTGACATCGGCTCCGTGGGCCAACGCGTCGGCCATGACGGGGAAGTTCTGCAAAGCTGCCGAGCGGTACAGCAGCGCCCCGGGGTGGAGGTGGCTGAGATCCTCCTCCTCTTCCTCTTCATTATCTGAAAGATTTAACAGATGTAATGTTATGTGATTCTTCTCAAAAGCTGTACAAGCTCTTTTTTGGTGGATCTGTGTTTTGTTGAGGTCTTATCTCACCTCTGTGGAAGCCTGAATTGTTCATCTGGACAAGGTCACTGGGGCTTAACCCTAAAGAGAGAACAACAGTCGTGATTACTGATACAGCTGACCAGGCCCTTAGCGTTATCGAAGTACGCCTTCCTGTTTGACAACAGGGGCGACTCGCCGCTTTACCTGTGACCCGAGGCAGAGTGGCTCTGTTCGGTTTGGGCTTGAGCGGCGGTCTCTGCGCGATCTGTGTGGTCGCTCGGTTTCTCCTGCCGCTGGATCGCCTCAGCGGGGGGTTCCTGCCAGTCTCAGGCAGCTTATGGATAAACTTCTTTTCAACATACTTTGATCGAATCCACGACTCCTTGTCTCCTCTAAAGATCAGAAAGTATCAGAAAATGAGAAAGAATAAGCGCGAGCGATGGAGGATACGCTTCTCTTACATCGAGGTAGAGTTAAAACAGAAGAAGGCCACGTGCAGGGCCGTGTCCATCAGTGTGTTTCTGGCTTTTAATAAGCTCAGTTTCACTTCTCTACTTGAAGGTGTGAGACAGGAGAACAAGTTTCTGAGGCACAGAGTGAAGTAATGCATTCATTTAAATTTGG